GGGCTCCCCGCCAAGGGCTGCGCTGAGCCGTGCCAGCCCGGCGAGGGCAGCCGGCACCCGGCTGGGGCGGTGGGGAGAGCCGCAAGGCAGCGCGGAGGGGCAGCGCCGCAGCCCCGGCTCCCAGCTGAGCGGAGCTGGAGAGAAAGGAGTGGCTGCCAGGACAGGAAAAAAAAGGGGCTTTTTATTGCCAAGAGCTTAGTTGCTGTGAACCTGCATCCGTTTTGGAGGTGTTACGCTGGTGTGCATCGGTCCTAGGTGGGGGGAAACAAACAGGCTGTCTCTGGGCACGTCGTACCTCGGTCGGGTGCCTGCCTCTGGTGCAGCAGCAAGAGAAGAGTCCTCACCGACCCTCGCAGGTGGGGCAAGGCAGGCAAAGGTACCCCAGAGCCGCCTGGTCTGCCCCTGTGGTCAAAACCAGCCCGGTGGGGACATGAGGGCTGTGTCAAGCGGCGATGCTGTCATAGCGCAGTACAGTCTGGGGGCAGCATTAAGTTGTGACGCACTCGGATGGAAACATGCAGTTGAAAGATGCTCGATCGCCGCTTCCTGCGCTGTGGGGCTGCACTGGGAGGGATAGAGGGGTCTGCCGTCTTGGGGGTGATGGTTGACTGGACAGGGAATGTTTTAAAAGACGTTGGTGCAGCTTGTGATGTTTCTGAGTCGAAAGTGTGGGGCCAGGATGGGAAGCTGTGCGGGGGACCCCTGCAGCAGGGTAGAAGGTGACACTGTCCCCGTGGCAGTCCATCCTATGGTTAAAAAAAAGTCTGTCTCCAGGTCACTCTGCTCTGTGTGCACACAGAGCCCTTCTGCAGTGGAGGGGAGGGGGGAACAAGGGTTCTGCGCAGCAGAGTTGTTGCGTGCCAGGTGATGAGTTGTTCTTGAGCATGGGTTGTGCATGCTGGGCAGGCAGTGGGAGTGGAAGTGGGCAACTGTGAAGGTGAGCGAGGGACCTGACATAGGTATGGTTTCCACTGATTATACATTCCTGATCTAACGGTGTAATTTGTATCTGTGCAGCTGAAGGGTCTGGGTGCTTGGGGGACCTGGCAGAGCTTTGTGGCTGAGTGTAGAGAAAGATTTTGCTAAGGAAAAGTTGAGGAAAGCCAGCAATTGAGCTCTTGTGTTGAAATACTGCCAGGCACAGAGAGAGGCAGGATGACTGCAGGGAGGGTGCTGGGTGGCTGTGAAGTCTGTCATGCAGCCGTGGCTGGTCACAGGGCTGGCAGGAAGAAGAGGAGCCTCCACCTGCGCAGGGCATCTTGCAGCTCTGAGAGCCGAGCACTGTGTTGCTTAGTGCAGGAACCAGCAGACTGTAAAGGGGATGTGTCCATAAGAGTTATGATCCATAAAAGAGGCACCCCAGACAGGGTTAAAACCCTGTGCCAGATGCCTAAATTCTTGCCTTAACTCTCCTCTGAGAGTGCTGAGCTACAGCCCTTGGTACTGTCCCATCTGTGCCAAAGCTGTGTCCAGGCCATCTTGCTGCCCAGCTCCCCACACCAGCCCTGGATCTCCGCTCTAGTCTGCCCTGAGCTGAGGGGCTGAAGGGGGATGTCTTCTCCCTGCCCTGCTTGTGTAGGGCTGTCTCCAGCTGGAGGACTGGGGCCACCTGCATCTTGCCCAGTGCAGCCTCCCACCCTTCCTGGACACATTTGCTAGAGCAAGACCCAGGGACGTCCTCTCAGCCCACTTTTGGGAGGGAGGGCACCAAAGAAAGATGTTGTTGATTCAGTTAGAAATCCCACTGGGACAGTATATTCCTAGGTCTCTTCAGCGTTGAACATGTCTAGGACAGAGCTGGCTGGCCTGGTGTGCTGCAGCAGTGAACTCATAGCCTGGCAGTGACAAAAAACCCCAACCATGCTTGGGGTCGGCCGTGGAGGCATGGGGCCAGCACCCTGCTTTCTCTTGGGCAGTACTTGCAAGTTCAGAGGTGCCATCCTTTCAGCGCAGAGGGAATGAATCCGTGGAGCAAAGACAGCCTGGAGAGAGGGACCTGCCAAGCGATGAAACCGATGTCTCTGGCCTCTGCCGAGGTGGTTGTGAGTTAGGCTTCGAGAGCCTGCACCGCCTGTGCTTCCCCAGCAGAAAGAGTCCGTGCACCAAAGAGCCCAGAGTTTAGTGGGCTGACAGGCAGTGGTACTGCTCTGGGACCAGAAAAACAGGATGGGCTTTGTGGCTGGAGTGCACCTTCTCAACTAGGACTTGGGCTGAGTCCACCAGCTTTGCTTCTGAGACTGGTGTTGGCTGGGGATGGCATTTAGCCAAGCAGAGTTTAAGCAGGATTTAAGTGTAGATGTAAACCTTTTTTATTGCCCTCTCAATCTCCCTAGCCCCCCTGTTTGCCTCTCACTGTCGCCCTGCACCGAGGTGCTGAGCATCCCCTGCTCCCTGCCTCTGAGGTGGGAGTGCTTGTCAGCTCCTGCCCACAGCAGACTTGTGGGATGCTGTCGCGGCTTGCAGCAGTGTGGCTGGTTGAAGTGTTCGCTGGCAGTCCCAGAGCCCAGGTTTTTGTAGTGCGGTGCTCTGCCGGGCTGTTCTCTGGCACTGTGCCATCCAGAATTACTCCCTGAGCATCTTCTGACAGCTCATTCACTGAGCATTTAACAGCAATCCTCCCGAAAGCCCTGCATGGGGCTGGGGGCTGCAGTCCCAGATGGTGTGGCGTCTCACCCTACCCTCCAAAATCCCTGCTCACCTGGCTCATGTCTACCTTCCTTGGGGACAGGGAGCTGATCCCTCTCTATATCACCACTGAGCCGGGTAGAAGCCAAGCCATGCATCCTGTCCTGGTTGCTCTTTCTGAGGAGCTTTTCTGTGGTTCCTCATCCCCACTTCTCTGTGCCAGTTTCCCGGTCTCCTTTTTTGTGTCTATTGGTTCTCAGTGTCCCTCTCCTGTGTCCCCAGCAGTGAGTAAGATCCCTTGTTTCCTGTGGCAATTCCTTATCTACATTGCTCTGAGATGCCTGCTTCTCCCACCTGCTCTGCTCCCAGGTTATGTTCTGCAGGCCTTTGGGTTGTTTCCCCTCTTCTCCCCCCACCCAGGCTCTTCTCTAGGTCTCTTTGCAACCCATGCTTCTCTGGCCGCCTCACTTCCAGCCTGCTGATGGGTACCCCCAGCTCACACCCTGGCCTCTCCAGTGCCTGGGCTACATATATGGAGTTGGGGTCTGATCTCTTCTCAGGCACTGAGGCTGTACCCCTTCTGTGAGCCTCCTGCCTTCCTATGAGAAAAGTGAACCCTACTTTCCACCTGTTAGATCAGGGCAATCCCTTTCCTCCTCCAAGAAACAAGCTGGCGCTGCACCAGCAGTTCCCTGACAGGGAAGTGCAGGAGGAGCTGGGTCCCCTCTCTGTCCTGGCCAGTGCACCTCTCGGGAGAGTGATGGATGTCCCTTCCCCAGACACCGCTGCGGCCTGTCAGCTGGCTGGCTTTCCTGGGCCCCTGCATGCCTCCAGTTGTACTTTCTCAGCCACCAGCATGATCTCTCAGCAGCAGTCTCCAGCCCAGTGATGGATGTTGACAGCTGCCTGAACAGCCTGTGCAGGACTCGGTTATTTTCCTCTGAGGATGATGCCTTCCAGATCTTGCTCTGCAAGCACTATGTTGAAACCCTCTCCGGAGCCTCACTGGCTGCAGAGCCGTGTTGAGTGCCTCTGGCTTGCACTCAGCTCAGGCCAGACAAATGCTTGGGATCAGGGCCCTGGAGCATCCCGCTGCAGGCAGGCTCAGCTTGTTCCTGTGCTGAGATGCAGGCAGTGGGTCCTGCCTTGCTCAGATTGTTGGTATTCAGGCCTGCAGGGAGGGCAGGGTGCTTAGTGGGCGCTAGGGAGTGGATAGAGACAAGCCACAGCCACCTGGAGCAGTAGCAGCCCAGCAGTAGGCAAACCCATCCTGCCTCAACCACTCATGGGGGTGGATGCTGTCATGAATGACAGCATGCTGGTGTCTCAGGAAGCCCAGGGCCAACGCTGTACTGAAGTCACTCTTAAAGTCCAATTTTACTCCTGTGGTGGCATTGCATCGCTGCAGAGCACTGGATGCTGCCATGAGCCCGTTTCTGCCAGCCCAGGACAGGTGGCTGATGGCAGGGGGTTTGCTGTCTGTGGTGTGTTGTGGCACAGAGCTGCTGGAGGCCCTGAAGCAGGCTGAGGTCCCGCCGAGCAGGGTGCATTATTGAAGTCCAGCCCAAAGGCTTGCTCTCCTGGGGCCCAGGCCTCCTGAAAGCTCTTTGACCAGCCTGGGACAACTTGGAGTGTGGAGAAGCAGCTCTCCTAGGGATTTAAAAACATTTGGTGTGCCTTGCCATCATGTGCCACCATCACAGGCAGGTAGAAAAGGAGGAGAGACAGCCGGGGCCATCGCCAGCACTGTGCCAGGAGTGCGTGTAGGGTTGCATGGTGCCCAGGAGAAGCTCTCTGTAGCCATGAAACAAGGTCAGCCAGCTGGCCCAGCCAGGATGGGATTGGACCAGGATGAACTGACCTGGGAGTACTTTAACCTCCAGTGTTCCCGACCCAGCCTGCCGTACCCATTCCACTCCTCCAGACAGCCCCCCCGACCCAGCACCACTCTCCTGCTGACTGCCTGCTCTTCTCTCTGCAGGCACTGTACGGCTCCATCAAGAATGAGAAGCTGCAATGGGCCATGTGAGTATCCCTCCTGGGGGATGCTGCCACCTGGTGCAAGGCCGGCAGTGGGGCCACCCTGCTGGTGTGGGGGGACTTCCTTGTCCTTGCTGGCCTGCTGGCCTCCTGCAGGAGCATTGCCTTGCCACAGAGGCCCCATCAGTTGTGATGCTGCAGGGCTGTGAGAATGGGGGATGCGATGGGATGGGACGGGATGGGATGGGATGGGATGGGGGTGCCTGGAAAGCTGTAGTGACAGTGCACCACTGGCTGCCCTCAGCACCTTGAGTGCGGGGGGAAGGCCCCCTGAAGCCACCTCCCCGCAGCTTTGGTGTTGCTTTGTACCTTGGTGGTGATGGCCGGGGTGAGAGCGGGCAGGCTCTTGGGGGGCCGTGGCTGTGCCGGGGCCCTGCAGAGTGCCTGCACCCTCGCCCACAGCTGCCATCTCCAGCAGCAGGAGCGGCAGCGCCCGCGCTGCGGGGATTAATCAGCCCGGCGGTACCCCAGCGCTGAGCCAATGCGCTCGGGCTGCTGCCATGGAGACGCCAGCAGATGCTGAGAGGTTTAATTAGCAGCAAGTGGGGCTGAGGGAGGGGGGAGGCAGCAGCTCTGGGCTCCCACATCTTCCTGCTGGGCGGGGGGAGCAGCACCGATGCAGCCTGCCTGCAGCACCAGGGCCCGTGACCTGGAGGGAGGGTGTGAGCAGGGGCCTGCCGTATCCCGCTGCCTGAAGTGCCTGTGTCCTGCCTGCCCGCGTTCCTGCCCCGAGCCAGTGCTGCCTGAGGCCTCCTCACCGCAGGCTCCCTGCGCCCCTTTCTGGGTGACTCTGAGCCCCATAGTCTGGCTGCTGCCCGGAAGGCTTGGGGACCACAGCCTGGATCTCTCTTTGGAGAGGATTTCCTTCTAGACACCTTCTCCTGCCAGCTGGGGTCCTGTGAGCCCATACACCATGTGCTGTGGTAGTGCCAAGCCCTGGGGTGCTGCTCCTCCATGGCCCCTGGCTCATCAACCTGACTGGCATCAGTCCCAGCCCTGTCCAAAGAGGCTTCTCACTCACTCCCTGGGGCAGGGAAGACCCCCACCCTGAATCAGTAGAAAATGTCCCCTGTCTTTTGAGGGGGCAGCACAGCTGCCACCTTAGAGGTGCATGGAGGCATGGCTGTGTTCAGGATGCTCACCAATGGCAATGGGAGACTGCTCAGCCTGATCTGCTGCTTCTGGCTGCCCTTTCAGAAGCTGGTCCTTAAAGTGGCAGCAGTAAACGAGAGGCTTGGTATTTGCTGTCCCCAGCAAGTTAACAAACCCTTTCCCCATCCAAATCTGTGCCTGGCAGAGATGAGGAGGAGCTGAGAAAGTCCCTTTCAGAGCTGGCAGACCCCAACCCAAAGTCCATCAAGCGCATCAGCAGCTGCAGTAACCCCTTTCTGGACTTCTCCCAAGATTCCAGCATCGCCACCTACAAGCACGGACTGTTAGTGCGCAAGATCCACGCTGATCCTGACTGCAAGAAAAGTAGGTGCCTGGGGAGCCCATAGGAGGGACTCGGGATGAGAGGGCACCAGTAACCTCCAGGAGCCCAGCAGGGAGCAGAGCAGGAGTCACTACGTGGCATCTGACTGTAGCATCATGCCAGCCTCCAGCAGCAGCCCCTGCGCCCTCTCTGGCTGGCTGTGCTGGGCATGATGCAGCCCCGGGGCTGGGGATCCTGAAAGCCCCTCGCTGCCTGTCTGCCTGCACGATCAGGGCTGGGTAGAGGCCAAGATGGCAGTGGGCAACGCAGCTCCTGCCTGCGGTGCTGGGAAGAGGGCAGGCAGGGAGGTGAGGTGGGTTTCCCGGGCGATGCACCATTGCCACAGGGTGGCAGGCACGAAGGAAGGTGGCCTGTGGTGCAGCAAACAAGCAGCACAGCAGGCTGCCGCTGCTTGGGTGCTGCCAGGCACGTTCACCGTTTCCACTGTAAAAATCCCCTCTAAGCCCTGGCCATCTAATACTGCCTTGAGCTGATTAGAAGCAGCCGCCCTCCCAAGCCAGCATTACCTGGTGGGCAGCACTGCCTCGTCTGCGTCCCCAAGCGAGGAGGCAGCGGTGAAGGCGAGCGGCGAGGCGGGCAGCGAGGTGGGAGCGCGGCAGCACTGGCCCCGAGGGGCGGCAGGCGGCCC